GCAGTAGTCGTCGCTGATGTCCTCAGTGCGGAAACCCGTTGTGTACAAGAACTTGCCAATGGGGGCTTCGGTGCCGTTGATGATTTTGGTGTCGAAAGCCTGTGCGGCGGAGGCGACAACAGCAAGAGGGACGAGGGCAGCTTTGACCATGGCAACGTGAATTCAAGAATGACTGATGCGAGTTTAGCCCTCGTCGGGGAACGAATCCACGCCAGTCGACGCTTGTTGCATGTGAAGAGTGGGATAAGGTTTTGGTGCTCGTTTTGCATTCGCTCATATTCGGATGACGAACAGATGGTAGGCATGCCAGCAAAGTTGTGGCGTCGATGGTTACTCCTGAGTAATTGACAGCTGAGTTTGGATTATCATTTGTTTAAGACTTTCTCCGCGAGGGCCGATTGGAGTCGCCGAGGTGAAGTAGGAAGATGACCTGCGAAGTGTCCCTGCATGCCATGGAGATGCATGTCGCTCGTGATATGTGCGTCATTAAGGTGCTCAATACAGTACGACCCCCCACTATCAGTTAGCCCATCATTCTCATGAGCTGAAGCACCATGCATTGTGGGACGCAGTGTACGCGGACGATTACCCGCGGGTCCAACGACTCCTGGAGGCAGTAGATAACAACCAACATATTACTCTTGAATCTACTATACTTGGATTCGCAGCCAGCGCTCGAACTCATCGTTTCTTAACAGGGTATGAGCCCAACTGACATGTTCGAGGCTAAGACATCTACAATGATGCTACGTGAGGACAACTGGAACTCCTGACGAACCGCATTCAAGGGTCGCATGCTGAGCTACGTTCAGCCGACGCATGCACCAATTCACCGCACGTATGGCGAAAAATAAGACCTGCTCCGGGCATGGAATGCTGTTGAAGGCGGTGGCATGACTCTCGTTGCTTTCTGCCGGTCATGGCAGATACAGTACCTCTGTCCACTTTCGAGAAGTGGTTGAACAATCAAGGCAGAATCAACCGAGTCTCGGCAGACCGCGTCAACAAACACATCGCCCCACGAGCGTCCATATTGCAACGACAATCCAAGACGCCAGTCGCCCCTCGACGGCTGCCACTGCATGCGTGGATGGCCACGGCACGTTCCCCAATCAACCTGGAACTTATGCGTGTCAAGGTGAGTGAGCTTTGGCCCGAGTGGGACGACATCAGTCATCCCGCATTCAAGCACTCCAATTACTTTGCCAAGTTGTGCCGTCGTGTCGCTGCAAGTTTGAAACCCGGCGCCAAGCCAATGATGCCGCCGCCTCCGACGACACTGTAAGTGGCAGTGAACCCAACGGCGTTGACACCTTTGATGCCACTGAAACGGTCGAACAAGGCGGCGGTACCTCAGGCGAAGACACCGAAACCGACGATGAATTGTCGACACGTGACCCAGCCCTCGACAGAACGTATGGAACCTCCAAAAAGGCGCCATGCCGCCCTTTCCGAAAAAGCGTGGTGTCAGAAGACGCTGATCTGTTGGATAACGACGATTCTTTGGCCCACAGCGACTTCGCCACACTTCTCGAAGATTCGAGCCACCCCTTTTCCTGCCCATTCTCCCCTGTACACTCCGACCCTCGAGCCACTCTAAGGCCTATCAATATCAATGGGCCACTTCCGTGTGTTGTTGGCTCCTCACAGTCACACCCTTCGGCTGCCTCCAGTGAGGACTCGTACGACAGCGACTTTGAGGATTACTTCAAAATGACGTCAGTTCCAGTGAAGCTCCCGAAGGCACTAGGCGGTAAACGTAGTGGAAAGACTCCCCGAACTAAATGCAGGCCCCGGGACCACACCAATCCACGAGATATCACGCCAGCGCCTGCCCCACCTTCCCCTGTCTACCCCAAGGACCCCATCACTCGACGGGCCGCCGCTCCACTATCTGCTGTACCCGCCCCTGTCCACCCCAAGGACCCCGCCACTCGACGAGCCGCCACTCCACTATCTGCTGCACCAACCCCAGCCACACGCGAGGCTCCAATGAAGCATCAGCTACGCCGGCCCCAAGGACTCCGCGATACCCATCAAACGCGGGGCGACGGTCCCCCTACAAAGATCAAGCCCACCAAAGCGCCTCGGAATCTGAACGAGGCACCCAACGTTATCGTCCTAACTGAAAGCGATGATTCCGAGGACGACGTCAAGTTTGAGCCTGTGGAAGCGGACCCCGATCCCTTGGCCGCATTTATACCCATGTCGAGACTTGTCAGCCCGGTTTGAGCCTTCCACCACGACTTGCACGGATGTACAAAGCGAGACCAAGATAATCGAGTACGTTGGCGAGTACATGAGCAAGATGGACATTTTGCGCCTGAAACGCCTAAAGCAAGGTACCACCGATTGGTATTTGGCCCGCGTTGATTCCAGCGATGATTTGTACATTGACGCGGGACGTGTGGGCAATCATTCGAGGTTCATCAACCACTCATGCATTCCAAACTGCCGGTTTCAAAAATGGTATGTCGACACCAAGCCTCGGTTAATGGTCGTCGCCAACCATGCTCTTGAACGAGGTACTATATTATCGCTTGACTATATGGATGCAGGATGGAACATCCCGTGCCTTTGTGGTGCTTGTGATGGGAACTACAGCACTGCAATTGATTGTCGAGTGCTAGCGATAAATAATCCACAATTTTATCCACAACCTTTTAAAAAGTTCAATTTGTTCGGATGGCATCACTTATCGAATAATTCTACGAATATCATGCTCAAAATCTCAAATTGTGTGGATGACTCACGTTTTTGTCACGTCGCAGGGTTGCTCTAAACACACACCAGACACTTGAAGTGTCTCGTCGAGACAATCTCACCATCATTTCCTTAATGTTCTGCTTTACTCATGATAGTATGAGTCCACTGGCGCAGTGGTTTAGATACCTCACTTTGAACGTGGAGATATCGGGTTCAATTCCCATGCACGACGTCGCTTTTTTCTTCATTTCCAATGTGCCCCTCGAACAACAACGATGTACCGGTACTACGCAATACTAGTACAGTTCCAGTACAACGCAAATGAATCGACACTGAGTTCGTCGAGTACTGTACTACGCACTAGTAGGCGATATTGACATTACTTGGAAGTATTACGCTGTAAGGTTAACATCGCTCAGCAGACACTTAATGGCCTCACGTATGTATTAGGTGACCTACATGTTTCACTAACAGAGTTTAAGGTTTGTATCAAACACTGAACGAGATTATGCATGGTTCTCAGCTCACATGAGTTGAAGGAGTTCGATAGGTAAAGCGTTTGTAGTTCAAAGCCTTGACGGTCGCCCATTTCACGGATAATTAGGCGGTGGTCTCTGTACTTTACTGCACCGATACTATGTAGTCCATCCATTGTTTTCATCGACGATGTCGGTATGGTATCATGTATAGTCTACATAGAATAGGAACAATTTACCAGATTCTGAACAAAAAGTATGTTCAAAAGAGGTACAGTAAGCTTAGTTCATAGTGAAGGGGGGGCATGTAGTA